TATATATATATATATATATATATATATATGAGTGGAAGTATCATTCAATGTGGTACAAATGGTATCAAAATGCTAAAAGTGGCATTAATAAAATTAATTTGTACACACTCAATAAACTCACTTTGCTTAACTTGAGTCTCATTTAAGCCCAACTCTTTTCGATCTTTCACAATCAGATCAACATCTTTCGGCCTGGATAGCGTACTCATTGTATTAACGGATTGCTGCTGTGATTGTTTTGGTATTCGTCGTGTCAGCAGGGCTCGTAACAACGGAGCAGTAGAGACAGAGATCGACGGAAAATCAAATGGTGGCAACAAGGTTGCAGGCAGTGGCACTTGTTGCTGCGGCACCATGGGCGCTGATGAAAACTCAAGAGACATAGTCCTAGAATCTATGGTAAAACGGGCCCTTGGTGAAAACCAGGCAGTGGTGTCAGGCAGACGGACAGTGTAAAATGGCCAAGCATCCAGTATGTAGACTTGAGATGGAATAAACCGATGACAGGATTCGATGGCCCCCTGGGGAGAAGTGGAAGCAAGGCAAAAATTAGACGTGCCCTTTTTTTGTCGAATGGTATTAAAATTATTGCTAACTCCAGCAAATGCACCAAAAGAATTCGTATTGAGAGTGCCGAACTGCTGAACGGAGGAAATCTTAAGAAAGGGCAGGACAAGCGTGAAAGTGTCTTGTGCAGGTAAAGAGGTAGCTGGAAGTGTTGTCGAGTGGCTGGAACCAGAAGAGCGAAAACGGGCCTTACGACTGCCTTCTAGAGATGCAAAGGAAATAGATGGACTGGATAGCAAAGACTGGGAGTAATGTGCTGGAGATGATGATATTTTGTCAGCACCGGTATTGGTATGTAATGAATCAGAGATAATAATAGCGCAGCAAATGGGCTGGCGAGGATGACGACCAAGCAGCTGATCCAGGTTGGAAACAGATGAGGGAGAGGAATCTGAACGAGTGTGCCTAGTAAGGTTGGAGAACCATCTTGACGTTCCTGAGTAGCGTGATGCAGGTCTAAGCAGACAAGAAATAATGAATGAGGAAAGACAACAAGTAAAGTGAAAAAAATTTAACGAAACCCAAGTATAGAAATAAAAATAAAAAAGGGGATAAACTACGAAAAATCAATACTCAAGGAAAAATAAGCGAAAAAATAAGTTTATAAAAACATATATGTATTGATTTATTTATATAAATATAATGAAGAAATAAGGTGAAACATGTCGGGACTAGAACGGTTTATCTTAATTAAGTGGCCGACCTAATTATGCGAAGTTGTACGTAGAGCTAAAATGAATAAAAGAAAAGACAAACTACTTTAGTTAACCACATATTATATATATAAATTAATTACAGAACTAGTTGGAGTAAATTATTTGAGATTTTGATATTTAATCTATGGATCAAATACTCATTTAGATCCCAAGTTAATCATTTTAAATAAATTTATTGTGTACCCCGTCGTGCTCCTTTGATTGACTGCAAATGAACAAGTGATCAGAGGGGCAAGCCTAGACTCTTTATCATGCCCTCAGCTTTTCGTCAAGCAGACTTATGGAGGAGTGGGTGACAAAGAGAGTCTTCAAAAAAAGCTAAAACTTTTTTCGGTTATGCTTTCTTTTAGCGAGGAATATAACCCATCATCAAGATTTGGTTGTTACAAGATTTATGGCCGATTTTATGCTGGTGAGGCCTGTCACCAGTCAGCCAAAGATTAGCATAACAAAAAATGCCTTTGAAGGCAGATGGGTCGAATGAACATAAGTGGTTGAGCATAGGGCGTAGAATGGAGATGAGATAGAATGATCTCAGATGCAGAGGTTTGCTGTCTATGGTACGTCTGCTAGGAAACGAAAGATCAGAGATTATTGAAATAAATATATTAGGGAATATGTCGAATGTGAGGAATGATGGTAGAAAGTTGGGTAAGAATTACTTATGCATGATAGAAAGATTGAAGAGAATGTTAAGCCACCGTCCAGAAAGGGGCGACTCATCTAAATGATGGTCATGCTAAGCTCACTAACTATAACATATGTACGAGATTACGTAATCCCAATTATGCTTTTCTTGGTTCATTAAAATGTAATGGCCCAGGACTAAAGGGTTATGATTGGTGGTTTTGTAACTTGGCTTCTATGCGTAGAGGCTTACATTCTATCAATTCGAGCAATCTTGACCTGGCTTTTCCTTTTTCATTAAGCCTTGATTAGCTGGAGCTAACATTAGGGATTTTATCTAATTAATCTCAGTTATGGCTGGTATTGTGTACAGGCGTCAAAACACACACACAGACAGATAGACGGGCAGACATACTAGAGTATAAGAGAGTTAAACAAAACATTATATATCCTTGTGTATCCAAATATTTTTTCATTAATTAGTAGTATAGAGCCGATCAACTTCTTGACTTCGTCTTAATGTGAGACTTTTGTAAGAATAGGTCCCAGCTCTAGTTATGCTTATCACATGAAGAACGAAAGCTCAGCCAGTTTTCGCCCGGAACGAAGGAGAATGCCTCACGGACTACATCAACCTGAACGTCATATCAAGGCCAAACGGCTGCAGCTCAGCGGGACTCAGCCGTCGTCTTCTGGTGAGATCGAATTAGGAATCTCTTCAGCATGCACTTCCATGGGAAATCAAAGTATTTACAAAATCAACGCAAATCCTTAATGCGGATAAATGACTGTATTCACTGCCTTGTTTCATGAAGTTCCGTCCAAAATAAAGAATTACATCCCTGACTTTCTAGCTAATCATTTTCTCAAACTGAGATGTGTCAACTATGTCACTTTTCTCGTTTTCTGATGAGTATTAGAGTTTCGCATGGGCAATAAAGGAATAAGGAACTGTATCAATTTATCACGCGAAAAGTAACATCCACAAAGAAGTGAAATGTAGCAATATTAAGACTGGTCCACTATACTTCAATATTAGGTCATTCAATCACGGAAGGAACTAGGTTCCTCAGCATTTCGTGTTGCTCCATATAATCGTGAAAATAGTAGTTAGGAGCCTTGTGATTAGCTTCAATTTTATGCGAATTAGTACAGGTTATAGAATGCTGGTAAAGGTGGAAGGCTTACACAATAGTGATGATAACATTTCATAACCAGAACATTGGAAGTACTTTATGAATACTCCAAGAGCACAGAAGTATAGATGTTAATTATCTGAGAATGCTCCAGAGACAGATAAATTTTAAATCAAAATTATTCTACAAAAACCAATCTAGATGTATGGTGACAGAAAACTAATCAATAAAAAAAGCAATTTGGGAGGGATTTTTCTAGAAATTTGTGTGGGGGATGGCGGAGCAAAATAGTGCCGATAGGTAAACGAATATATTTGTAAAAAATGAATGGCCAACACTAATCATTGCCAAGCCTAGTCGTTGCTACCCATACAAGGTTCTATTAAGCAGGTCATAGCAAGTACAGAAAACTCGGATAAAAATGAAGAGCATTAATATTCAAAGTCTAGCCAATGGTATGAAGACAAGGGTTGTATTGCCTAAATTTTAGCCACGGTTTATTTTCAATGTATGGAGGTCGCTTGATCTCTTTTTCGTAACTTAATTGTACTGTGAAAATGACCTAGATGAAAGCACCTTATCCGAGGTTTTATGTCATAGCAGACATGAGAATTTCAGGCGTCGTACATGGCAGAGGACTCCGAATAAGATGCTTTAATTAAGGTCACCAACAAGAATTTTTTATAATTACTTAATTGAGAACCTATACCCAACGTTAGTAAGCATTTAAATATCAGAGTTGCTCTGTGAATAATTTTGCTGCTTCTATATTTAAAGAGTGCACAAAACTTGAGTAAATTGTATTTTTTAAATGGTATGGCCTTATTCACTAATTAAAGCTTATTCTCTGGTATTTTCCTCATGTAAAAGTGAAAGAAGTTTATGAATTTAATTGCTCGTAAGATATGGATATAAAGATGAAATGGAAAAGACATAATAAAATAAAGAATAGGAAATAATTTAAGAAGCCAGATTGAGTAGATTTCTTATATGAAGGCCAATTTAATTTTACTCGATATGAGAATTGTGTTCAGATTCGTTGTGATGACAGGATTCACAAAATCTAGGTGTCGGCTCACTTCTCCCTTTCAGAATACTAGAAGTAGGTGTATTGCATGATGAAATCAGGTGTGAAGAGCTGGTTGGACAAGGAATGTGCTGACAGAAAAGCTGAACGTTCGAAGACTCAGCAACTGGGGACCAATCTTCTTTAAGCGCATTAACTACACATGACGCTGAATCTGGTAGACTTGCATTTGGATTAACAGCAGCAGCAACAGCCTCTAAGTCGGCTCTAGTGTCACGTCGGCACAGATTGTGAACAGAAGAGATGGAATAAGGTTCAAAATGTAGGTTTGTTGGGTTGGGAGCTGTGACTTGAGAGGTCGCTATGCTTTGAGTAGGCAGTTTGAAGAGACGTTCAAAACTGCATTGTATAAATTAGAGAAAATATACAAGGAGAAAGTGAGAGAAAAAATTAATGCAAATAAGAAAGATTAAATATATGAAGACCAAGATGTTGTGGCCTCTGGTGTAATCGCAGTCTCCTTTCGATTGATAGAAGTGGGTTGACCTCGTTGTCGCAACTTGGTCTTGTCTTCAGGGAGACCATGTAGAACGCACCTAGTCCGAAGTCGTCTACCATAGTAGTTGTCATAATTCCCAGCATCCGACCGTGGACTTGATACATTCTCAAACGTTTCGCCGA